TTTTTTTTTATGAGAAGAGAGTTGGTTTTAACTCCTTATATTTTAAACAAAAATGAAGTCTGTAATAAAGGATTTTTTGTGTGTGCGTGTAAGGCTATATCTTTGTAGACAAACTTTTAAGGAAGATATTTGATAAGGTAGCATGGTTTAGCTCTATGCATATGGTAAAACCAGTCAATAACACTTTCTACTCTTTTTCAAGTGATGAAGCTTTACCATATGAAAGAAGGAAGCAAATGTCCAGGGAAGGGGGTGGGAGTGTCAAAAAAGTCAAGATGGTGTGCACAACTGCATGATCAAAGCCATGCCCCTTTGGGCATGCATGTGACATTAACACATGTACAAAGAAACTGGCTTCCATCACAGTTACAACTACCATCTTGATTTTTTTTTTTTTTAACCTGCTCCTCATGGACACTCCTGACAGAAGGTTCAACTATAGCAAATAGCATTTTGGAGTATATCTGCCAATGTCCTCTTTATTCTTTTCAGATAGAACTAATGTATTTTCTAATTAATAGCTGCTTGTGCATTGTAACAATTCTCTTACCTAACAGTGTGGTCGGTGGAACAGTGTCTGAGGATACTTTGAGATGAAATTCCAATTGTGCACAGAACAGGATCAATGGAACCCAACAGGCCAACAGGAAGAAAATAATGTGGAAAATAAAATAAAAACATGTTAGCTGTTTTGAATATTGCCAAAACATATTTACTACCACATCTGATTACAGGGAAATGGACAACAGAAATCACAATTAAAAATTAAGTCTGACATATGTACCTGAGTAGTAGGAATTCAACAATGATTTGATCTGAAGGGTTTTGCTTTGGACAGAAAATGAACATGGAGAGGATGGTGCTAAGTAGGAAAGACATAAGGAAAAGACTTTAGAAAAGTAAGCTGAAATAGGAGAACAGGGAGAGAAACTCCACAGAGAATAGGATAGTTCTGAATAAACCGGACTAGTATAATTAAAGAAGCAAGCATATTCTAGTTATATCAATCTTTTTTCATTCAACAAAGAGAATAAATTCCCGAAAGTATATTCCAGAAACTTTACTCTTATTAATTTACAGCAAAGAAAAGCAAGACCATATATACTCATTAATTTTGCCATGATCATTTACCCCAAACTGTTCCCCTTCAGATGTGTAAGATTAAAACTCCCATGATCTAATAAGATCTAACATGATTATCTTAAGTGGACTTTATTAAAATAACCTAAAGGCGTTCCAAGCATATGGATCACTATAATAT